ACACACTTGCTCAGACATTTTTGCCAGGCACACCATTCCTATTACTCCAGTCCTGGGTGCAAAAAACCCCTCCATACTAGATGTAGAGGCAGCTTGCTGTCTAGGACATGGAGCAGAGGGCCTTGTCCCTAGAGCTGCCGACTCATCCTGTGATGCAGTTGTGGATGCCATGCCTGGGGAGAAGATTTCAGCAGTTGCATGACAAAGCACTGACTTTTGTGATGCAGAATATGCAGCACTGCAGAGATATTTGATGTGAGGATGCGCCTGGGGTGGACATCACCAGGAAGGGAGGGATGTGGTGGGGGGGTTTGCAAACACAAAGCTAAAACCTGTGGAGTGTCACTGAGGCTGCATGTAAGTTAGCCAAAAGCAGGGATCCCAAGTTATGAGAGGAAAGCGGGAAGGAGAGCAGACAGGAGTTCAGGATGTGTGGGAAGTGCCACTGCAGGGTGGTGGTGGTGGGAAGATTGTGAAACTTGTAGCCCTGCACAGTGCAGTGCTGCATGCTGCAAGACTGATGGGCATCTGATTGCTGGGTGTGCACTAAGATTATACATTATTGTGTGTTTTACTAGTAATTTGGCTTTCCAGGCTTGCACGGCAAAACCTTTACCTGGAGACCAGACCCACAGTTTAATTTTGTTCCACTGTTGAGCTTGTTTTGATGCTGCGGGATGAGGCAAATTAGGGTGAAACTATAGAATTGAGTATACACTTTTCAACCGCAGCCCCGTGAGTGCTTCTCACTCCTACCCTGCAGCTCTTTCCCAGCCCAGGCTGGGGCTTCTTATAGGAACTAAACTAATGATCCTTTACTCTGACTCTGTGACCCCACAATTTTTTTCTCTCCCCTTCTGCATTAATACCATCCACCATGTCTCTAGGCCACAGCAGTTCCAGCCTTTGCTACCAGAGATTGATAACTGCTGGGATCACCAGCAGGAAGGGAGGAAAGGAGCTGGATTGGGTTGAGGAGTTTGATATCTAGTGAATGGCTTCCCCATCATGAATACAGATAAGAAATGTGACCAAAGTCCAGGTGCTTATGCTAAATGTTCTCCATTGCCTTTTCCAGCTTGAGGCCATGACATGGTTGGCAGCTTATCTCATTAACACTAAGAAAAACACAGACTCTGCAATCAAAGCAGAATGTGCATTCCCCATGCTGAGAGCCGAGGGGAAGCACCCACCAGAGCTGCTTGTGCCTTGCTGCTTCCCATAGCAGCGCCTGCAGCTTCAGCCTGCGGCATGCCCTGCCCGTGTGACTTGGCTTCTGACTCCATGCTGCACAGACCTGGAGAACACCCTCTTTGTGCACAGGGAGCTGCAGGCTGCATTCCAGTGTTACTCCATTCTCTCACAGTTCAGCCCCCTGGTCTGGGCACTCCCAGACCCTCCTACAAATCACAACTTCCTCCTGTTTAATGGGAGCCACTGGCTCCATATCTCTGCAATCATCTGGTAGCCACAGGGAGAAATTCAGTTTTGCACTGCAGTTTTTCACAATGAGACTCACCTTCTAGCTGTGGTTATGGTTTTGCAAACCAATGTTGCCTATGATTAGCTCCTGTTTGTGCAGTGCTGCAGCTCGTGCTACTCAGTGCAAAAAGAGCTTGCACCTGTGGCCTGGGTGGAAAATCCTGATTTTAATTTCCCTGTTGTCTTTGGAGAAGTACTTGGTTGGAGAGAAGGGCTTGGGAGTTCCCTAAAGAACAGCATATTGCAAGTTCCTTGGATGGCAGTCATGTGTTGAGTACTCTGCAGTTGTACAAGGTATCCTTGGCTGTAAGTCCTCATGAGCAGTGCTCTTGCATCTTAGAGTTTTCTCATCAACAAAGCAAGCATTTGCAGAAGATTTGAGATAGCCTTGTTAGTTCTTGTCTTCCTTCCCTCAGAGTTGCTCCTATGCTCTCATTCATCACCAACCATATCCAGAAGGCTTGTGGCATGCCACCACTAATCTCTACTCCCTAATGCCAAAGTGTCAGTAGAGTTAGGGTCTGCCTCTGACAATCTGATCCTCTTCTGGGAGGCCCAGTACTCTTGGCATTGGGGAGAGGAATGGAAGGCCCATCCTGAGGCCAATGAAGAGAGGGAAAAGGGGGCGAAGAGTGATTCTCGTCATGCAGTGAGAATCTCCTCCTTTGCTGTGATATCTCTGCTGCCTTCCTTCCCTGCTAGTGCATTTCCATGCCTGGTTGTGCTGGCTGTTACCATCAGTTATTTCTTTAGCCATGAGCACATGAAAGGCTCCCAAGTTTCTGCTTTAAGCAGTGAGGTCAGAGTTGTGATATTCTTGAGCTAGCTGCCCAGGCAGGGTATCCAAGAACCTCAGAGCTTCCCACCTAATTTCACAGGGTTTAAAGATACCCTGCCATGTTCCATCCAAAAGCAAGAGTTCTGCTTGGATGAAAAGCCTCGTAGAAGCTCCTAGGAAGCAGAGAAGAGAAAGAAGAAGAAGAATTTGAAGATAAAACAAAGACCCAGGGAAATTACTGATTATGAATTATTATCAGAAATTTTAATTCACTGGTGCCCATTGGTTGTAGCATTGCTTCTGCTTCCCACTCAGATGTGGCTCAAAACCAACTATATCTCACTAAAATATAGGGTCTTACATTCACATACGCAGCCAGTTAATTTCTCTTTCCCCAGTCTGTATTCAATGAGCGGACATCAGCTCTAGTTATCTATTCTATCATTTCTGTGCAGGTACAGGTAAGGCACAGGGTGGCTAGCTTGGTCCCAACCCCATTGGGAAAACTGGGGACAAGACTAAAAAGGCTCACAGATTGGAGAGGCAAAAATCAACTCTGAAGCAGTGCCTCTGGGGACTCTTAGGGAACAGAAATGGCAAAGAGGCAGAGCTCAGATGCCTTTCCTAAGCAAAACCAAAGAGAGACTACAAAGATAGCAGCTGATGGACAATGAGAGCCAAGAGAGATGGTGTGTAATGACAGTGCTGGGTTCAAGCAATGCTGATGAGAAAATTACTCGTCATCACAGCATGGAGAGTCTCAGGAATGACTGTGTTCCCACTGCACCAGGCAGAAAATAAGCTCTTTTGAACCCTACCTCCACATCAAGGACCAGCCTGGAGGCTAAGTGTAGGCTGTGGAAGAAGACAAGTTTTATTTGTTAATCCATGATAGTGGCCAATGCAGCTTCTGCCAGCCAATCTGTGCTATTTGGTACCAGAGAAGACACACAGTGAGATGTAAGCATTTTCTAGTGGGTGTGTTTTCTAATACCACATGGCTTTGGTGCTATGAGGGAGCAGTTGGAGCAGAAAGTCCCACAGGAACGCCTTCAGTATGAAAAGGCTTTGTAGGTATAAGACACCCAATACAAGAGACGTCATGCTGACCTCTGCATCAGCATGAACCCAAAATGTTGTTCAAAACTTCACACTGGTAGTCTGTGCTGCCTATCGTGTTTGAAACAACTGCTGCTGCTGCATGTGCCACTGCTTCTCCAGGCTCTGAGGTACTGGCTAAGATGCCAGAGAAGGTGGCAGGAGGATCCAAACCCTGCAAGCCCCCAGTTTCCAGTTGGACTGACTATGAAAGCAATGACTGTTTGCCAGAAGCACAGAAGAACTTTCTCTCACCACTCTGAAAGGGAACTGAAGCCTGCGCAGTACAGAAGGACAACAGCTGCACCAGGCTGGGGCTCAGGAGCCTGGACAAAAGCAGCACAGGAGAACTTGGTACTTTTAGCTCCTTTAAACTCAACAAGCCAAGAGGAAGGTGCCAAGAAGACAGCAAAAGCCAAGAACCACCTGGTCCTTGACTGGCACTGCCAAGAAGCCCTGATTATCTGTGGCTGCAACACAAGTCCCAAGGAAAGCCAAGAAACTGGCAGCCACTATGACCAAGAAAGCAATCAAGAGCTACAGAAAGCAATCAAGAGCTACAGAATATGAAAAGTGACAGACCAAAAAAGGCAAAGATCCAACTAAGGGCAAAACAGTGAAACCCAAGGCTACCAAACCAAAGGCAGAGAAATTGAAAGTGACCCCAGGGTGAGAAAGTAGTGCACAAGTAGATGCTGTATGAGCATAGAAAAAGTGGCCTGCTGCAGAGCCATAGACAGCAAATCCTTTAATTTAGCCACTGATTTTTGTCATGTTTTGCATTTTTAAATACAGTTTCTCCAAAGGAAGAGAATTAATTTTAATAATTTAAATGCCTTGTTTTGCAATAAAACTCGGGCTTTGTATGAACTAAATATTTCTTCTTGCTATTTTCTTCAAATGTCTGCAGCAGTATTGTAGGGGAGAGAGTTTGCTCAGAGATGCACAGCAAAAAGAACAGAGGCAAGTGATGAATGCTGTAACACAGAAATTTCTGATCTGACACCAGGAAACTATTCTCCATCTTAAGCGTGGTGCAACACTGGAACAGATTGAGGATTCTCCATCCTTACTGACTTTTTCAAAATTCACCTGGACAAGGCTCTGAGTGATCTTATTAGCTTTGAAGGTAGCTCTGTGTGCTAACTTTCAGTATAATTTTATCTATTATCCTAACTGGGGAGATATACAATCTCAATATCCACATTTATTTAAAAAAATGCATAGCTTCATGTACATTTATTCTTATATTTAAGTAGGTGAGATCTGACGTTACTTATTAGCTAGACATATTGAATTATATGTTTCTCTATTACACCTTTTTGTTAATGTCTAATTTGTGACAGGCTGTATTTGTATGGATGTTGCAATATTAGTAAAATTTACAAAACAGCATTCTGACAGATAATTTATTCATTAAATGAATTTAATGGTTTTTACCAATTCACTTTTTTATATATTTCAGCATAGTAGCAATGAGTACATAAACTGATACAATTTATATTATTGAAAATATTTTTATTTGAAAAAATAATTTACATTAATAGCAAAAGTAGACAATCAAATACCCTTGTGATGTTTCACACAACTTTTTTTATAACTTCTTTTAATGGACTGAAATCCAGCTCTCTATTTTGTAGGAGTTTATTCCAACTTGCTGCACTACAGGGGCTATGGACAGCAAGAAACAGAAAAGAGCAGGATGCTGAAGATCAGAGAGCAGGAAGTGAAGAGATTCAGAAATGGAATTCAGATTTCCTGTGCTCTGTCAAGGGACTGTTCACAGCTGGATGAAGGTACACTGTCAAACAATGTCAGACCATGTGGTGCCAGGAGTCAATGTTATAGGATTGTGTACCTTTAAAATCTTTGGGGGGAAAAAACCCAACCACAACTTTTTTTTTTTTCCTCTAATTTTTAAGTCCCTTTTGGTTTCCAGCCAGCTATTCTTTGTTTAATAGGGGTGCTTTTTTGGATAAGCTGCAAGCACCAGTCCCCTCTGTGAAGGGCAAGCCCACACCCCAGCCAGAAGGATGCTCTTAAGGCATCCCTCCAAGCTGAGACACCCGATGTCAACATATTTTGTTCATGATGTGGGTTATTGCGGAAAGATTCAGGAAACATGGAGCTTCTGGTGACATGGCAGCTGCTTCCAACAGGGGACCGAGCATCAGAACACTGGCCTTCAAACAGTAGCCTTCAAACTGGCAACACTGCTCAGTAGTGGGGAGCTGTGACAGTAAAAGGAGCAGGAACAACCATTGTGTCGGAAGTGACCGCAGGACATCTAACTCCCGCTCCAGGTCAGAAGTTTGTGAAAATCAGCCACAAACACAGGACCATGTTTCTAAAACAGGCCTCTGGCAGCTTTCTTTGTGGCTAGCCCAACTGCATGAACAGCAGACCTAGCTGGAGCTGTATTTAAAACCACTGCCCTGGCTTATAAGAAAAGGCTCTATCCAGAGACCAGCAACCATGGCAATTCAGTTTGGAATGGCAGGGAAGGTAAATCTGTGTATGGAATAAGTGCTAATGAAGGTGAGGAAGTGTGTCTGCAGACTCCAGCGCTGTAAGAAAAGGGGAGGATAAACTGAATCACAAAAATCTGATGGCACACACAGCCAGTGGAAAGTGCCAATAGAGGGACACTGCACAGGTCAAGAGCTCATGAGACAGAGCAGGGTTTGGCCTGTGTAGGTGGGAGCAACATCTACAGTCACTGGGGCTGAGGCTGTTTCCATTATAACAGTCCAAGATAGGGACACCACAGCATCAGCCAGGAATGGGCATTGCTTCTAGGGGGTAGCACTGTGCAATAAGCTGCATTGTGTGGTTTAGTCCTGAAGTCCTATGGGACACTGTCAGAGGCACTTTAATGGGTAATTTGGGCCACAGCCACTTTTGTTCTAGAAATACCATCTAAATGCAGACCTCACTGCTTGCACATGAACACACTGCCTAGAGTGCCCCAAACTCTGAGTGCTCTATCTTTTCAATGAAAATATGATGCACAGTCAGTGCCTGATGAATCTATGCAAAAATCAGAAAATCAATGAAAGAGAAATTCTTCTAATCCTTTTGACCTAGATATGTAATTTTCCCATTATTGAGTTAAATGGCTGTAGTGAACAAATTCTTCTTCACTCATGTGATAGTTAGCACAGCTCTTCTCTTATTTCAGTCACCTTACCATTTTACTTGGAGATGTTAATTCTTTACCAGAAAGTCATGGCACATGCACAGTGAAAAGATGTGTTTTCAGCACAAATTTAACGGGCTGGGAGGAGTTATCCTTGTGTTCAGCAGCTACCAACTGTCAGGAAAATCTAGCACAGCTATGCTGGAGCAAATTTTATGTTTCTCTAGAAAAAAATAATGACTTCCCAGGAAGACCTGTGATTCACGAGTGAAGGGAGGGTGGTAGCAGAGGACTAGGCTAGCAGGGAGTAAAAAGGTCCAAATGACAGATTTGGGTTGGAGTCAAGTTTCCTCACAAATCTGGAGGAAATACAGCAAGTGACAAATAGACCCAAACACGTGAGAGTTGCCAAGAATAATAGGAAATAAATTTTCCTTTAATACGCATTATATAGACTCTAGCATTAAAACAATGTTCTCCTGGACAGGAGCACCTCTTCCTGACCCTGCTGAAAGCAAGCAACAGAAAGGCTTCTAACTACTTCCCAAACTGTTAAATGTTAAATTTCTATATGCTGTACAGGAGCTATGTTACACAGCTATATATCTATATCAACTTATAGTCAACTCTAAATACAAAGTGGAGACTTGGCCTAGTCCAATTTCCAAGATGTCCCTCTAATATCTCGTCTCCATCCTACCTTCCTCCACACAGGCAATTTTCAGAGGTATCCCATCATGGAAGTCAGTGGCTGCCAGTGGCTTGAATTTCTGTGAGATCAAGCTCTCAGTGACCTCCTTTCTACAGAAACATGCACTCTCTCAGCACAGAGAAATTCCTCCTCCATACCTAGTCTCCAGAGCCTAGACTGAGGAGGAGCATCATTCCCTGAGTAGGGGTGCAATGCTCCTATGTATATAGGATGAAATTCCAGACACTGCATAACTTGAAATTCTTTCTCCTGTGTACTGGCTTAATACAGAGAGATTTAGCCCGTCTATGGACAATTTTGACCTCATATGGAACAAATCTGTCTGCACAGGGTGTCTTCTCCTACAGAGAGGATGTAAACAGCTTATTGATGCATACAGCAGAAATCCTAGTCCAGGTGAGAGGGTCTTACATTAATTGTTTTACTCTTTTTCTCAAGAGACATCTGCCTCTGTGCAGCAAACTGTCCCTGATATTGTGTGACCCTGGCTCTGTGCAGGAGAGCAGTGTCTCTGCAAGGGTGAATGGTACTCTGTTCAGCAGCAGAGTATATTATGTGATGGGGGTGAATGCCTAATCTGGCGAACTGGCTCTCTGTTAGTTGGGAACAACACAGAGGTCCTAGAGACAGGGTCTTGCTGATCTGGTACAGTGCTCCGGTGCCTCACAGAATCATGCCACTGAGAGTCACACAGAATAATCAATACAGTTCAGACTGCTCTTCCCCACTTACCCTACCCAGTGTCATCATGTAAACTGCCCATATACCTGGAAATGTTCTCCATATATCTGAAATACAAAGTTCTTGAGCAGACCAGACATCCAGTGCTACCAGAGTAATTCTTCTCCCCAGGCTGGCCTGCCTCTATAAGCACTTATATCTGCAGATATGTTTACCTTCCCCGTCAGCACCTGGCTCTGTACAGGCCAGCAAAGTCAGAGAACTTGCAGGAAAATCCCAGGTCCCTGATAACCAGGGATCCCAGATGATGATTCTTATCTCACATCTGATTCCAGTTTGTAACTCCTTTCTGCTTTGTGCAGAAGCTTCCAGGTCAAGAGGTAGGAACTCAAGTGGAGATATTGAAAGCAAGCTCAGCAACTGGAGAGTGTGGAGGTAGCCAGACCAAGACAAGACACCAGGACAAGCTAATTCATTGCAAGTTCCCCGTACTGTCAGGACACGCAGGTTCTTCATGGGCTTTCTTGGGCTTAGGAGTGGAGACAGCCATAATTACTGCTCTGTGGAACTTGCCTGGAATGGACATCAAGAGATGTCTTCAATGGGAAGGGAGGGACAAGAATGGGGAGAGGAGACGAGGGAGTGTAAGAGGCAGCACTCTGTTCCAACATAATCTTCTCGAGAAAATATAATGCCATACTAAATCCAGAATTCTTCCTTTCGGTAGCAGTTGTGTGTGAGGGAGGCAATGGGCTTGGGACAAAGAACTTCCCAGAGGGAGTTATAAATGATCTGTTGCCATCCAGGGGCAATGAGGTTTGCCTTGGGTTCAGGATAGCTCATCTCCCATTTCTGTCACTTCTCTGATGCCAGCAGACACAAGGAGGAGATTGGGCTATCACACAACAAACGCAGTGGCTCAGGAGAATCAGAGAGGCTCAGGCTGACTAACAATATCTGAGCTCATACTGATGCCATTGCAAGAAATAAAGGGCAGGAGTCCTAGGGCCTAGTCCTAGTTTGTACTCCTCCACATGAAATGCAGCTTAGGGCATCTGTACCACTGGAGAGGACTACATCCTGTCCCCACACAGAATATCCCTCCAGGGACAAAGCAAGAGAAGATGCAGCACATTTATAAGGACCTCTGGGAAATGAGCAGCTCATGGCCTGCCAGACAGAGGGAAAGGAGGGAGCATCTTCTATCCTCAGCAACAGATTTTAAAGATGACGACAGCCACCAAAACAGACTATCAGAGTACTCTGTGTACTGCAGCACCTGAAGAAGAGAATGTAGGGGAAGGCATAGAAGCAAGAAAATGGTGGGGAAATCACAAACAAGAAGGACTTGTCTTGGGTAGGTAGCGGGTAAGGATTTCTCTTCTCTTCCTTCCTTTTCCTCTCCTGCTGTTGGGAGCTCACAGAGCATCAGGCCTTCCATGCTGCTGCTCCAGGAGCTGTCTGCAAGGGAGAGGCAGGGGTTGCCCAGATCGGCGGAGACGTCGAGGAGGAAGGCCAGCCAGCTGGCGACAGATCTCATCTGAAGACATAGCAGACACACACAAGTTGACAGATAATCAAAGCTTCCTTCAAATTCTTCACTACTAGAACAGCTAAAGGTACATCCTTCACTGCATCTACAGAAACTGTTGAAACTGCTGAATCCTCATATACATGAGGCACGCAAAACAGGTCCTTAGGCTTTTATGAATTTCTGTCTGGCTTTATCATACATACTAAAATCACTGGTATTTTGCTGCAACAAAGACTTCATAAAAAATCTAGACTGGATCCTGTTTCTATTCATGACCAGAAATACTGATATTTACTCTTGAACCTCAAAGGAATACAACTTTGAGTAAGAGTGTGTTTGGGGCTAGTAGAGCATGATCAAGATGGAGGAATACAGAGCTATCATACTTCTTGTTAGTACAATATCTACTTCCCATTTTATTTGGTCATGTTTTTTGTGTACTGGATCTAAGACTGCATTGCATTAGAGCTCCTTCACACAAAGTCCAGGGAAACTACTACATACAGATTGGAGTCCAAGCTAACTAGTTAGCTTAGAGACTCTATCAGATGGCTGCAGCTGTTCTTCTAGGCTAGCTTGATATCACTAGGCTAGCTTGATATCACTCACCTTGCATGACCTCATTCTCCTTGCAGACAATGCGAGAGCACACCTCCTTGTTTATTATGTACATGCGACGCACACTGAGGGATCGCCAGGGTCAGTAGCGAGAGGCACAGAGACCCAAAGAAAGAAAAAAGGGATACAGGCAATAAACATATATATTCACTGATGAGAAGGCAAGTCCTAAATTTTTATGATTAGTTACCCTAGATTAAGGCTGCCATCGATAGCAAAGTAATCTTGGCAACGGCTTCATAAAATCTTAGAATCATAGAAAGGTTTGGGTTAGAAGGGACCTTCAAGATCATCTTGTTCCAAACCACTGTCATGGGCAGGGACACCTTCCACTAGATCAGGTTGCTCAAAGCCCCGTCCAACCTGGCCTTGAACAATTCCAGGGACTGGGCATTCACAATTTCTCTAGACAATCTGTTCCTGTGTCTCATCACCTTCTGCGTAAAGAATTTCTACCTAACATCTAATCTAAATTTCTCCTCTTTTAGTTCAAAACCATTCCCTCTTGTCCTATCACCATTTGCCTGTGCAAAAAGCTGCTCTCCCTCCTTTTTATAAACTCCCTTCAGGTACTGGAAGGCCGCAATAAGGTCTCTCTGGAGCCTTCTCTTCTCCAGGCCGAACAACCCCAGCTCTCTCAGCCTGTCTTCAAAGGAGAGGTGCTCTATCCCTCTGATTATCTTCGTGGCCCTATAAATGGCCAAATACCTTAAATATGGATTACAATATAGGACACATTACAGTTCCTTAGTGCTGCACAGATAATAGTAATTGTGCTGTTTTAAATAATCACAGAAAAAGGACACTCTGGGGATAGGATTCATCTCACCAGCTGGTTCCCAGAGGCCTCTAGTCTTCAAAAGGAACAATTGCTTAACTGGGTACACCATTTCTGGAGAGTTTTTAAGGCACTTCTTAGGGACTGCTTGTTTCTTACCTTGTAACACAGAGGTAGCTGATACACTGCTTTACTGGTTTGTGAACAGAGTACAGGCGCGTGCAAGGGAACTTTTCTTCACGACAATCTGGGAACACACACACACAAACACACTGGTGCAATCCAGCATCACTGGCAGGCGAACTCATTCTGGCACAGATATCACTTCATCACTAGGTACTGTCCTCCAGGATTCTAAGGAAGGCCTCCAGCCTCTATTGTCCTCTCTCTTGCGAGAGATGGGTATGGTTTAGAGAATAGGAAAATAATGCAGACATTTCTGCATGTGATACCCTTGCCTCATAGGACAAAAGCAAGGGAAAGTTGAGTGAAATGCAAAACAAGCTCACTGGGCATACTGAATACAGGAGGCACATGCTGTAAGGCTGAGAGACAAATAAATAAAATGTAAATTGTAGTTAAGTATTTAAGATGTGTTTCTAATAGATCTGCAATATCTCATTTCAGGACACGAATTTAGTTCCTTTTTTTCTGGACAATCAACCCTATAGCTAACTATAATGGGTTTTCCCGTATTTCATTCTGAAATGCCAGGTATCAGCCAATGACAATGGCACAATATTGACCCAGTGTATCTGGTCAGGTGATCTGCCACTTCCTCCCTTCCCAGGCATGCCAACCAGGAGAAGGCTGCAGTTTCCACTACCATAATTCTCCAGTACTTCTAACTCAAGAAACAATTGAAAGCAATTTTCCAGGAGACAAAGCTCAGTGTTCAGCCAGCACTTGCCTGGAGAGGTAACAGGGTGGGTAAAAGTGGGTTTGGGAGGGAATGCAGGCAGCAAACTTAAAACATACCTGATGAAGCTGTTGCAGTTTCACTGTCAGACAGAACTGGAAGACAGAGGGTAGCAAAGTTAGTTAGTTACCGTAATTTCTTCCCAGATATGCGCTATATCAAAACAAATACCTGGAAAGGTCTTTCAAGAGCCCTCCATTGTAACTTCCAAGGTGGGAAAAGATTTAATTGTTACTAACATGAAACCACAAGAGAAGGTACAAATCCAATATGAATCTAGTGCCAACTACTCAGCCAATAATGGTAAAAATCTGCCAAGCTTTCCCATAAAGCACTACCATTACTGTTCAAAATTACACTATAAGGGCATCTTCACTTAAAATTCAAAAGGTCAGGTAAATTTATTTAGTTGCTGTAATTACTATTTATCTAAAGAAGAAGTGAAGGAGCCTGTGACTGCCTCTTCCTAAGGAATAGTGACACCTTTAAAAAACAGCATCCCCAAGACCTCTAGTTCTTTAATGTCCATGACAAAGGATCAGAAGAAGGTTGATTTGTTATTCCTTATAATAAAGTAACCCATCTATACCACAGCAAACCAGTACATTTTATAATTTGCCCAGTAACAAACTGCAAAGGAATTCAGAGAACTGACTGCCAGGTGCAAGTTTTCATCAACAGTTAGAGAGGACTTTTACTTCTGCTCACGTGCCATAGTGTCAGCCAGAAACATAGACAAAACACATGTGCACAAGGGAAAATGAGTCTTTTGGGTGTTGGGGCTGTGCTTAGGAGCAGTCAGAGATGGCAGGATTCTGGGTGTGCAAGGGACTGTGCAAGGAGAGGGAAGAAGGGTCTACGACATGTGGTTGTGAACTGAGAATAAACTTACCGGAAGGAGGAACTGCAGGTGGTGTAACAGCTGCAGCTGGAAAAAGAGAAGATGTTCTGAAAGATCTTAATTTGAGCTTTTGGCATGATAGGATGCTGCAGAGCAAAGATGGGTCCCAATGGTACATCCTTTGTGAAGAATTCTTCTTGATCCCTCAATAATAAGCATTTCAAAGCCCAAGCATTTCAAAGTTTGCTGCAAAGGCTTCACCTTTAGTCTTTTCAGTTTTAGATGTAGGTTAGTCACCACCAGCTTGGTCTAGACACTAAGTCTTATCTACACTCATACAGACTGTCAGGTCTCATATACTGAACACAATTGCTTTCACCTCCCATCCCACCCAAGATGTGTATACAATATGGTTCTTCCAGTTTTCTCTTCCACTGTTGTCCCATGACAGCTTGACCCAAAATAAATACTCCAGACAGATCATGAACAGAATCAGGGCAGAGGACAGATTATGGAACTGATGTCCTGGAAAACAAGACACCATTCTCAGATGAGCTCTCCTACACACACAGCACACTTCCCAGAAACAGCCATGCATAGCTGCCTCTCTTTGGACCATATCATTGACCAGATGTGTTCCCCCTCTCCCTTCCCTGTCTGGTCTTCCCAGCCTCAGGGGGATGTTGAGACTGCTTCAGCAGGGAGAGAAACCAGTCATGCCAGCTTTGAAACCAGACTCATGGAAAAAGTGGGGAGGCTCCTTCTTGAGCCTCCTTTCCTCCATTGCCTGTTGTTGCAAATGCCTATACTCCCACCAACTCTGTGTCCTTCCCCTGAGGTTATCTCCACTCTCTAAGGAGACACACTGCACGCTGTAAGTCTTCATCTTCCAAGTCCTCCATCTACCCTACCTTTGCTGCCCCCAAGTGACACAGCCGCAGGCACACTGGGGAAGACAGTACTAAAAGAAAAGTACGTCCACTTCCTGATCCCAACACTGCTCAGAGTTTGCTTTACTACTGTCTTTCAGGGTTTTTTTGCCACCTCTGTCTCCTGAGCATCAAGCACATGTGCTACCTGCCAGCAGACACACACACAACCTGTGTCCCAGTGCTGCTCAGTTTGAACCTGTCCAATTTCTCACCCTCGTCATTTAGTCTCTTTGTTTCTGCCACCTTCTGTGGAATACAAGGCTGAGTGAGCTTGGAATTTCATGGCTTCCTGCAGTGCAAACATCTTCAGAGAGCTCTGCTACACTAGGTGAGATTGGCATTTCCTCAGAGAACAGACCATTAAGTCACCCTAAATTAATCTCCCTGCATAGAGCACAGAAAAGATTCCCAGACAGCCGTAAACACTGGAAGAACACTGCTAGATGTCAAAAGTGGGAAGAGGGGTTTCTGGGCATAATGAGTAATTTCTGGGTGTGTGTAGGCAGAAGTACAGATGAAAAGGGAAAAAGAAGCATGAAGATGCCAAGAGATAGAAGCTTACCAGGGCTGCTGAGAAGAGAGGCAGGGGTAACATCACCTGGAAAAGAGAGAATGTTCTTAAGAAAGCTTGTCTTTACTTTGTGGTCCTTTATATAGCCAGCCATAGCTAGCTTGAATTACCTTGGCTGCCATCACAGGCTCATGAGACAGTGCGATCCAATCCAGTAAATTCATAAACAAACACAGTGCCCCCATCCCACCTGTATCTGTTCCCTTTGTCAGTGACTGGCCTGGAACTGGATTTTTTAGTGCACATGTTGCATGAACCCATACTGAATTCTGGGTGCATATTCTGACTTCTCAGATACGGCCATTTTAGGCATCTTGGTGGGAAAGAAAGATGTCTGAAATGAAGGTGCTGATGGCTCCTAGAGCAGCAGGACAGACAGATGAGGCACCCACTGCAGGGAAGGAGGGAGGCAGCTCTAAAACTTAGTCTTGGCTGCAGAAATTCATCAGCAGATGAGTTTCTTTGAAAGGCAAGTAATGGCAAAACTGAGGTGGAAGGATAAAGGGATAAAGTGATGGAGGGATAAAGTGTGAAGGAAAGGGAAACTTGGAGGACATGTTTTGGACTGCCTTCTGAATAGTTTTCTAGAAAGGCCCAGATACTACGTGACAGGATTGTAGCTGAAAGATGTCTGAAGGCTTAGCCAGGGGCTTCAGTTTGAAGAAAAGGCAGGCCCTTGTGGTTCTTCTGGGTGCTGAAGCACGATGCAAACATACATTCATTTTAAATTACCATGTCACAGAAATGGATAAAGGTCCAGAGGGATAAAGCAATTCACCCCCAACAACAAAGCCAGTATGAAGACCACTCAGTATCCTTTCCCAGTGGCCTCACTGCTAAAGCAGCACTTGTGCGCTTAAGCTAACTGTTCAGGACCCCTACACCAGCAAATTATTTGTGAAGAGCACAAGTTGTCTTGGAGGGCTTGTTCAATCTTCCCTGAAAAGTAAGCTCACAATGTCAGAGGTAAAGAAACAAAAAACAGTATTTGCTAATAAACAGGCTATAACTCCATGGGACAATGGAGTCACATGAACAACCTTCAGCACACAATATGCCTGTAATACTTACCAGTTGCACTTTCTGGTTCTTGCCCATTGACCACCCATGGAAACCAGTCTGCAAGAAAAGAAGAGAGGAGAGTGAAGAAAGACAGAGATTTCTACAGTCTGCAGGCTTTGTGAAATTTTTATGAGACATTTATCTATCCAGGAGACACCACTGCCCTCTGCTGAAGGGAGAAATCTCTTCACTCTGCCTCAGCCTCCACTGCTGGCCGGGTTTGTTGTTTAAAGACTCATGGACACAGCGGGTCCTGATCCGAACCCTGTTGCTTCCACGAGGGTCAATGGCTGGGCATAGGGACAAGTTAGTAAATACCTCCAGATCTCCTACCAGATTTTGCATTTCTGAAACCCCATTTGATGCATTTTGAAAAAAAATCCACGTGGCCTCCATACTCTGGAGGCTGGTCAAAATCCCTATATTCATTTTATAAAAGAGGAAACTGAGTCATAGAAATTATTTACTTGGGGTCACGGATTGGTACAGTAAGAAACAGACTGCAGGTTTTGTATCTCCTTAGGCAAATAATTATCTGGTCCGTCATCCTGCTTGGGTATAGAGCACAGAGCAGATGATCTTTCCCTTTTCTGCACCTGGGTGCACTGGAGAGGAGGAACAATGAAGGCTTGGCTGTGCATGCTGTGTGGAAGAGAAGAAACTGAAACTGGGCTAGACTGTTTGTTTTGTCCAAATATAAAGGGCGAGAGAGCTGCTTCCTACAGCAGCCAGGAACAGGAAAGTATTTCCTGCAAGCCACAGAGGAGGGAAATGTCTGCATAACTGGAGTGGGATGAAGGAAGGAGTTGGCAGGAAAAAGCCACAGATCTGGGGCACTGCATGGATGTGTGCACGATCAGCCCAAAAAACATTACACCCTGCTATGTCTTGTGAACTCAGCCTTTAGCTTTCTGTTCTTAATGTTCTTCTTTTACCCCACGATGTGGGTAAAAAATATCGGCTCTGGAGCTTCTGTCTTAGTTTTTCCATGTTCCAAGAACAGTTACTTGCAGACTGCAGAGGGACTCTTGGGACCCCTACATAATCCTGCTTTGCAGCATTACAGGAGTTGTTGGACCCTGATATTCTCTTCCCCACCCAGCTGCCAGCAACAGCTCAGCTGCTGGCAATTAACCCAGGGAGAGCCAGACATGTATAATAACTTAATTGCACAATTTAATGCAGCCCAAAACTTTCCCTGTTCTGGCTAATCTCTTAATTGTAACATGTAGAGAAGTAAGTGGTAGTGAACACTTTCTCACTTGTTTCTGATGCAAAAGGAAGGACACAAATTCTGAAACCATTGCAGAAGCCAGCAGTGCCGGATTTGAAGAGACATATAGAAAAGGCAGGGAGGCTCTCCCCTCTTTTCTAACACTGAAAAGTCAGATCTTACTAGTTTGGTGGTTTTTTTTCCTCCCTAGGAGCTAACTAGAAAACTGATCTAATTCTAAAACAACAGGACATAAAGTGAAGTGAAATCTCTGCATATGAGGTGAGGAGATAAAACAGGTGACTTTCTTAATCCTATTTTCAATTACTTCAATTTATATTTGCTATTGTACCAAATTCATATGTTTTATAAACAACTGGAGTCTATTCTCCAAGTTGCAGTAAATTCATCCTTGAGGTCTAAAACTGCAACTCTAACTCACTGAATCTGTAGCTTACCCCAAAACAAAAGAAGCAGTGAGAGATCAGCTGATCGCTCCTGTTATTTTCCAAGTTAAAATAAACAAACAAACAAACAAACACAAACAGAACTGCTAAAACAAAATACACAAAAGTAAGAAATATTCCTTTCGGGCCTCCTTCATTCACCATAAAAACCACAGGCTTCTTTTTTTCCCCCCTTAACTTTGTAGGCCACCTACAAACTCATCTCTTGGATGCCTCACCTCCCCACTTCACATTCGTAAATATGACATTGTCTACTGTGCACCTTTAAAGGAGAAAGTGCTATTTGGAGCAGAATCAGGCTTCAGCATGAGGGAAGGACCAAAGAAGGTATTGCAATAACCTGATTTGAATGTGATAGGTAGTTAGGTAATCACCTCTCTCCCATATAGAGTCTTTCCTGGGTGAAACTTTATCTGTTCATTGAAATTCATCTTCTTTCACTGTCTGTCCTGAGTCTTCCAATTGTAATGTCTGATGCTGTCCTTTTGGTTTGGGTTTTTTGTGCTTTTTTTTTGTTTTAAACAAATTTGATCCCACCTGAATTTTTGCCAAAGTAGCTCCAAGCAAACAAAATTACGGAGCAACAAAACAGAGTAACAACATCCACTACCACCAAAAGCAAAAAGTCATCCGAACTACAGAGGTTAGGTTTCTCAAAACAGCTGTACAAAGAACTACAAAACCTTCCAGCAGCCGAGTGGCCTGAAATGGGGTCATTCCAGCAGGAACTACTAGTGACAGCAAATGTGTCATAACTATGACAGAACAAATTTTGTGGATCACTGGGAAATGCCCTGAATACACAGATGGTACACCAGTAAGCATAAAGCACACCTAACTCTCTTTCTCAAACTGACCCGGCTGTTTTGCTTACATAAACATCCCTGAAGTGGAGGCTGTAGATCTTTGTCTCTTGTGACTCCCAGTACTTACTGGAGACTGTCACAGATGAGAACCTGTTTCCAGTTTCTGATTTTTCCTTACAGCCCTATATCCACCTTGCCTTTCCTGTTCAGTACTTCCCCTTTCACTACCCATCTACATGTCTCTGTCTTTCTTCTTAGGTCATTGCTTATTAGTCTGTGTAGGAAATTCTGTGGGGCACAGCTGGGGAAGAAATCCTCCCCCTGGCATAAGGACTCACCAGCTGGGGACAAGAAGAGTGCCAAGAGACACAACAGTATACAGGTTCCAGAGTTCTTCATCCCTGCGGAGTTGAGGAGAGAGCAGTCAGAGGAAAGCTAAGGCAGGAACTGGAGTACGCTCCCCCACAGCAGAGAAACTTTGCTTGCTATCCTCCATTTCCCTCTCAACACCATTTGGTCTTCCCAGCCTCCTTCCTGTCTCCCTCCTCATCTGGCCAGTTTTCCAGGTGTTTCAGAAATATTCTGGACTGAACTTATAACATCACCTGCTTTCTTCCTCTTTCCATCTCCTTCCCCCAGTCCCCATCTTTTTTCTCATCCAAGTGGCTAAGCCCCACTCCACACATACATCCAGCATGCAAAGAAAAGTTTCCCCCACATTATCTCCCTCCATTCTCTTCTACTTTTAAGTTATTTTGAGGAGCACTGAGACAATAGATAGGGTCCCCATCACTTACTGCAGCCCTCAGCTTCCACTCCCTTCGGCAGCAAACGTTCTGTCTTTCCCCTTCGGCGTCCCCCCCACTTTAGCTATTGGGTAAATCACATGCAGCCACACCCGGAATACGTTCTTCTTTTGGTTGTCTTCAAAAATACAATTTCTGGGAAAAAAAAAAAAAAAGCCAGAGAGATGGAGGGACATGGTGTCATCATGCATCTGGAATGAGGGGGGGGAGCGAGAAGCAGCTGCCCACACCCTCATTCCGGAGTTTATTGTCCTCCGAAGGGCTCCTCCCATTCCCCCAGGATGGCCCAGCACCAGGGATGGATTCTTGGGTCTGTGTTGCACACTGGTGTCCCATTTCGTCCTTCCCTCCTGCACACTCCCGCTTCTCCTCACGCCGCTACCTCTAGCCACGATTCCCCACTCAGCTGCGGCCTCTTCCCACCCCAGTCCTTCTGTCCTCTTCCCCGTTTCCCTGCGCGCCTCTCGCACAGGGACAGTGCAGAACCGCATCCCATGTACCCATAGGATGGGGGGTGGGAGCAGCCGCGTCCCGCGGGGACCGAGCGCGGGCGGCGGGACGGGGGGCACACGGCGGGGGGAACACGGCGGGGGGCAGGCGGGCAATCGACGGGCAGCAGCAGCGGTGACATCACCCCACTGCCCCGCCAGGGCGGGGCTGGAGCCTCCCGGCTGGATGGAGGGAAGGGGCTCCCGCCTGGACCAGGCTGGTGGCGGGGAGGGGGCACGGGGAGCAGGTACCGCCCACGGGGCCTGTTCTGCAGCGCCGCTGCCTGTCTGTGTGCAAAAAATAGAAAAAAAAATTAAAAAAAGGTAAAAAAGTAGGAAAGTGAGGGAGACAAACTGAGAAGGGAAGAATGGGACCTGACCTTCACTGCCATCCTCCTGACTCCCCTGTGCCTCCACTCTGCATTTTATGAGCCCCAATAGAATAGCCACTCTCCCCTAACCCTTCCTCCAACAGCCCCTGCATCCCTCATCTCCTGTTGCTTTTGCTGACTTATTTTCCCTCTGTTGTTTCTGTAACTAGTCCTCTCGATCTGAGGAGGCACTGGATGAGCTTCAAGGCACAGTCTCAGTCCTGAAGCCAAGGAGAAATCTAGGAAATGACCCCACTCCCTCTCTCATCTAGCAGTGAAACCTTATAGGGGAAAGCTGTGTCCCCTAAGGCTCATCGTTAGCTTGTTCTCAACTAAATGCAGACTAGAAATAAAATTCTATAATGCTTTATACAAAGTTACTAAAGGAAATTCTCACTGTGTCCTCTCTGCCACAGGAGACTCAAGAGTTTTGCCCACATGTGACATAACTGATGTCACCACTTCTTACCTGATAGTGGCTGAGCATTGGGTGTGGCAGTGCTCAAGAGGGAAATGACTGCTCCTTCTTATTTCTGGTCCTCCCAAGGCCCCTGGAGGATGCACCATTGGTGGACCGTACTAGAGGAGGGACAGAGGGGATGGGGAAAGCTAGGAATTTCCCTGGTACCAGGACAGCCTTCTGGAGCCAAACAGCATTGCACTGTTTCACTGGAGCGAGACACCAACATTTGCACTTTCAGAGACCAGCTAAAACTGGGTGCATTGGAAGTGCTGGTGAGGTTATTACACAACAAAAAGAATGTGATGGAAGTTATAACCACACCTCAGGTTGAGTAATCCTCTAAGATTCTTGGCTTTTACTGGAAGTCCACATATCAGTATGTTTGGGTTACAATACTCCACACACCTTGGTTTGGTTTTTGTTTTTCTCTGTACTTCTGTGTTGTCATTCAAGCCTCTGTTACTGCTTAACGGGATAACTGAAACATCCTGAAGACTTTGTGAGTTTTGAACACATTTATTAGGAAACTTTCATTGATGCCAAATGTTTTGATCTACCAATGTGTTGATGTACCACCATCTCCCACAGAGCACAGGATTCACAACCAATCTTGGGCAAAGTTTCTGCCGATTGCTTCTGAGCTTTAAATCCTTCTTTCAAACTGGAAGACTGTGTCCTCCCCCAGCAGCTCGGTGTGGGTAGACCCGTGGTGCTAGCAGCACGCCTCCATTTGGAGAGCTTGGTCGATGCTCCTGGTGACGGAATCGCTGGCTAAGAAGCAGTTCTGTATTTTACAGGCCAGACAAGCCGCGGAGAAATAGCTGGAGGTATCATGCTGCTCTTGCTCGCGGTGGACACCGGAGGGAGCCGCAGCACAATGGCATGAGAACGCCCCTTTTTCCTCTTGCAGTCCAGGCACACTCTTCAAGAGATGTGGCTCTGCATCTGCAGGCCTCCATCTGGCATGAAGTATCTCCTCTTAGCTCTCCTAATTGTCTACTGGATTCACAACTGTTTAATCGGTTTGCTTTTTGAGACAGAAAAGGATCTTGTTTTTTTTCCCCCATCCTTGCCCCATGACATTGACAAAGGTAGTTGGACAGCCCTCACAGCTAGGAGATATGAAAAATTAACATCCTTCTGCACCTTCCCTTCTCATTCACCCCGTTGCTGTCTTGTGATTTGTGGGCTGCTGTCCTCCATCACAGGGTATCCTGGGGACATCTACAGCTGATGACTCAAGATGAAGCACTCTTCCTTCTAAAAATTCAGGTATCAAGGCCACAGTATGGTGTGACGAACTGTGCTGCAGTAAAAGGCATGGGTGACTCATAAAGGAAACACATATTCCCTAAGTGCTGACTCCAGTGCCTGTAGGTGTTTACCTAAGATCAGAAGCAGTGACAGTGATTCAGCAAAAAGTTATTTTCCTTCCCAGTTGGTACCGATCCCATTATGTTACCAGGGATGCTACAGCGATAGTAGCATGGATAAGACACAAAACTGGCCTTCCTAGAAATTAAAATCACCTGATGCATTTCACCCCAGAGACTTCTGTGTCTCAGCAGACGGGTGAGTGATCCTGAGGCATACTATTTGTATAGGTCTTAGACCAGCATTTAAATTCCTACTGATTTCTTTCCCTTTCCTTCTTTGTCTTCTTGGCCTTCACATATTCTCACGGTAATGGGCATTAAGTTACATCTGACTGATAAGAAATTAATGAACTGCTGTAAGATATGTGAATGTATCATGTCAATAATGCAGGACTACTAGTCATGTGAATTGGGGCTGAAATGAATTTTCTTGGGTCCCACACTGCTGAGGGGCTCCACTAATACCTGAGGTCTGACATCATCCTGCAGTTGTTCTGCAGGTTTTGCTGAGGTCATCAGAGGGAAGGGACATGAGTTCAAGGCCTGATCCATCTATCCCCAATTTTTGGAGATTCACATCTGACTTTGTATCCAACCCACTGTAGAAGTGCAAACACTGCAAAGTGCAGCAGCCTGGACACAATTTGTCTCTTTTTGACTCATAGTCATGCTTTCTGTTGTCCCATCTACAAAAATAAGGAATTCTTCACCCCTCTATTTCCAAATCAACAAGGCAGTGCTTAGAGGGCATACAGTCTTGCAGTCACAAAATGCACTAAGGTAGTCCATGAAACTCTGATTAATACCCACTCAGCTCCTTCAAATCAGTTCAGCACTGTGAAGAACTGACCACAAGAAGAGGAAATCAGTGAGCTCTTTGCTATTGGTTGGTGACAGCCACAAGCTTCAGGCCTTTCCTGGACAAGGTGGTTATGGTGAATTGCCAGAATTTTCCTTCTTCATTTGCTGTGCTTTGGTGTTTCCTTTGCTGCTCTTTCTGTAGTTCTTACTATCATAAACATAGTTCCTTTCTGATCCTTTGTACTGTCTCAGGGCCAATTTCTCCTGGTTGTTTCACCTGTTCCTCCATATTCCCCTTTCTTCAAGCAGCTGAGCTCAAATATGGCTTCTCTCACAGAACATTTTCCAAGACTGCTCTCTCAGGGGGACAGGTAACACTTTAAGCTTAACAAATATATAAATCCCTCATGTAAGCCCAGTATATGTGTCCATACAGAGTCTGGAGTACATAGAACACCATATTTAATTTAACTGGTGCAGCTTTTCCATACAGACAAGGCTGCAGCCACAAGTAAAATGCCAGTAAAGACACGATGGATTCCCATCTCTTCTGGACAGCACAAACCCTGGAGCGAAGCCAGCAGGATTAACCCTCTTGTTGCAGCACAGTGATCAAGCACTGGAGCAGTAACCAGAGCTGGCTAAAGAAGTCACTGCTGGGAAGCAGAGCGGTGTGTTCCTCCTACACAGAGAGGTTCACTAGAGCCGGTCCAGCAGAGATGAAATCACAGTTGAGCTTTCCAAACAATACAGTATCTGTCTCACTTGAGGTCCAGTCTTTTGTACCATTTGTATTCTCTTTTAGTAGTCCTCTAAGGTGGAACAGATTTTAGTGGGTTTTTTTACCCTTACAGTCTAAAACCAGGAGTGGCGCCCCTCTAGCCCTCCTCCCAAGAAAATCAGCTCCAAAAATCCAAAAATCACACACTGAAAGGGCTACTCCAATGTTTAGTGTTGCAGTGCTGACATGTACATCATTCTGAGATCCTCACACAGCTCCGTGAGTGCAGTAGTGGGGCTATGGGGAGTACAGGATTTTAAAATATGTGATGAAACTGGGGCAGCTTGCAGTGCCTGAATTGGACACACCCTTTCAATTAAAAGAGGCATCAGAGTGAGAGAGGTATACAGGTCCATGCTTACAGAGAGGTTTCATGTGCACATAGAGAGACTGGGAGAAGAAATAGCAATTAAAAAGAAAATAAAGCAAAAGTATAGATATCATATTATATTAATTATATTGAAAAATAGAATACCTGTAAATTTTTAAACGCCATTGAGGAAGGGGCAAAATTGGCAATTTTAAAAGCCATTTGCTTTAAATTCTTTAACATTTAGAAAAGATCTGTTGTCAAAACCTTTTCTTAAATTGGCCACATCCAAAATATACAAACTGTTGAAGTCCTCAGTGTCAGCATTCACAGCACTCACCCTGCTTCTAATAGGACATAATAAAGAAGAACAACAGTTGCACCGAGTAGAAGAAATGCAAATGAAGCTACCTGTTAGCAGACAAACTGATAAAAGTTCATATTGTGGGGAAAATTAGGAGGCACCATTTTCAGGTTTTTATGCCTCCATTTCCTATATTCTTCCATTTCACTGGGACTGTAAAGTCCGTCTTTTATCATCATTTATGTTTTGTTCTACAGTTGACATTAGAGAAATCTGAACAAAGATTTTGGGCATTACCAAAACTGCAGTGGTATAAATCACTGTCTCTCCTGTAGGTACTGCTGACTTCAACCAGATCACTTGAATTTTCTTCTGACCTTCCCCGTGTATAGTGACTATTCTAACTCAATGGCAGACTGAAACTAAGGCAAGCAATGTTAACGAAAATCTGTCCTAATGTGATATGTATATGCATAAAGGGCCTGCACTGCTTTAGCTACCTCAGTTTTAAAGAGATGAAAACAGCAACCATTCTGTATCAACCTCAACAGCACCTTCACAAGATGCCTGTAAAAGAGCAACAATGTTGGTCGCTGAAAAACCTAATTGGATACTATTATAATAATTTCTTGCCTCTGTCCATCAATGCAGCTGCCCTGATATCTATCTTTTTATGAAAAAGGACTTCAACTATTCAGCCATTATGCTCTCGTTCTTAGAATAAAAAAACACATTGGAATTTTATTTGCATGCAGCTGTAAAGAATATTTGCATTCAAAACAAAGCCCACTGGCTTTGCTTGTTAAACTATCTAAATGTTATTTCATATCAGCCAAACCTCCTTAGCAAGGCTCCTCTGGCTATTTATTGTATCCTCCTTGAGTTTTCTTGCCATGCTTGCCTTCTCAGGTTTCTCACCAATTTAATTCTTGGGTTTTTTTGCTATGTTTTCCTTTTCCTGCACCTAATCTTTTTTCTTCCCCTATTTCTGCATTTATTCCTATATTTCTGTATATGCCTTTTTCTTTCTTGATTTTTTTTTTCTTTTCCTCCCCTTAGTGCTCTTTCTCCCGGTTTTTCTATCTGAACAAGCTTTTCTGACTCTGGCATTCTCTCTGTCTCCTTGGTTTCCTTTCAGTTGCCCAGTCGCCCTCACTGGAATGTTGGCAGAAACATATTTTTCTTTGAAAACAAAGAAACTAAATAAGTAAATGGATAAATAAAATAGCTGGGAGCAGATGGGAGGTTTCAGTTCTGGAATGGTCTGTATTCTGTGAGCTTTTCTCACTTCTTAGCAAAGGAGGAGATAGTTGCACTCCCTGCCCACCCACCCCCAGCCTCACAGGGAGCCAGGCTTCCCCCTCCCCTGGCGTGAGGACCTTGCTGGGAGTGATGGATTGCACTGCAGTGAGGGCTTGAAGCACTGCAGGGAGAGAAGGGGGAGGGATGGGAAGGACAGGAGGGAGGGAAGAAGGGAGGAGACACGCTGGCAGCGTCAGGCCAGGAAGGATGTAGCCGGGCTGATGAGAAGAGACGGGGGGGAGGAGGGGGGGGCTGGAAAACGGGAATTGGGAGGGCATGGCGGGGGTGGGCGTGCGTTTCTGCAGGCAGCACGGCTCCGAGCAGATTGGTGAGCCCAGGAATGATGGAGACAAGGCAGTGTGGGCAAAGCTGTCACTGGGCAGCGGGGGAGACGGGCAGGGAAAAGGGAAAAGGGATAGGGAATGGGAAGAGGGATAAAAAGTCAGAGAAAGTAAGGCTTTGGCTGTACAGCAACGACAAAAGGACACAACTCTCGCAATCTAGATTTCCTTGGAGCTGTAACAGAGGAGGCAATGTTGATGTAGAACACTGAAAAGGTCAAACAAGACCGGTCATTCAGCAAATCGTACTGAAATGGGCTTTCATTGCATTCCAAAGGGTGGTAACAGCATGACCTTTGGGCAGTAGCGAGGTACATCTGTACCGCCGAAGCTACTGGCGATGGTGAGCTTGCAGCGTCTGGCTGCAGCAGCTTATTGCCCTGTGGATTTTGGCAAGGAGGACGCGCGTCCTTTTGCATGGGCACTGTGAGGAATGCAGATGACCTCCCCACTGCACCAATTGCAAGTGCTGAAACATCACTTGTCATTGTTTGTTGACTTTCACGCTTCTCTTCTTCCTTATTTTAATATACATTTCTCCATCTGTTCCTTATTCATTGCCCAGATTTTTTCTCCATTTCCATCCAGCCTCCTTTCTCCATTATTAACATCTCTTTTTTTCCTCAATTCTCCTCCAGCATTACCTTCCTCCCTTCCTTCCTTTCTCTCTGCCCTTTCGCGGACGTCCCCCTGCCCACCCCGAGGCGCGGCGCTGGGAAGGGGCTCGGCGGGCGCCCGGCGGCGGATGCTGGGGGCTCGGGGCTGGGGGAGGATGGGGAGCGGGGCGGGTCTGCTAGCAGCCCTGCGACAGGCCTGCAGGACGCTGCCCCGCCCCTGCAACTTCGCAGAAAGACCCCTCCGCCTTCCATCCACTCACTCCCCTCTGGATATAACTGGCTCTCCGCCCCCCATCGCACTGCACCAGCTGCGCTTTCCAGCTACGCTGACCTAGTTCTGGCCTCCCTGAGAGGCACCTCTGTCCCCCTCCTCCCTTAGCACCTCCCTTAGCACCTGGCCTTAGCACAGGAGGAAAGGGGAGGAAAGGCTCCCTCACACCGCAGGGAGCCTCCTAAGCACAGTTCCTATCATGGCGCCGGACCTTGCGAGAGGAGACCAGAACTGGAGATGCAGGAGCCCGCCCCTCAGTCACCTCTATCGGCTCAAGGCAGGCGAGGGGAGATGGGTGTGTAGGCACACCAGTAAGGTGGCGAGAGGGGGTATCAGAGTTAGATGAAGAAAAGATGAAGAAACAACTCCCAACGAATGAGAGAAGTCTTGGAAAAAAACCCAGATTGCCCGTTCTCATCAGATCTGGGCACAGAACTGCCGGACACAAGAGGATAACATCAACACGATGGGGATAAACTCGGAGACATTCAACCTGCTGCCTGAAGCTCTTTAGCTCGCAGGGCAGATGTTTATCAGACTTAATGCAGCAGAGTGCCTGCGAGGTATAGCCACCCTGTGGTTGCATCAGATCCTTCCCAACAGGCACTGAAATCTTAAGTCATCACTGCAACAGCATTCATCAAAAGACAATGGAGAAAGAGACAGAAAAGGGCAAAACAGGAGTCAAAAAGAGGTAAAGGAACAGGAAAGAAAACCAGGCAGGCAGGAACTTTCTCAAGATGGTAAAGGAAAAATGCAGACTGAGAAAAACAGCTGGAAAAGGGGCCAGGCAGATGACAAGGAGTGGCAGAAGGGAGATACAGAGAAAAGGAAGTATTTTCCTTTGAAATGTCTGTTTCCATCGAAAGCACATTCATCCTTTTGGCCAGCTCCTCAGTACTGTTCCCTGTTTCCCTGCAGCAGAACGGCAACCTAGTTGGGGGAAATGCACTCCTGTCTTCTGGAACTGGGAGCTGCTGGTTATATACCAACCTTTGAAGCTTACCAGCTGCTATTCACCCATTCCTTTGTTTCTGCCTGTAACTCTGCCCGCCTGGGCTTCTTTGTGTCTCGCAGTTCTCAAACTGTTCCCAGAATAAGGATAACAGAAGCCTCTGACCTTCTCCAAAGTTACTTATTCAATTAGATGCATGCTCTCCTCCCTTATGTCCCCAAATGTTGTTGTCTGGCAGGAAAATTCTTGCAATGCCCCTCTGAGCCCCTTTCTTCTGTCAGGATTGTGTCCTGAGCCTGAGCCTCCTTTCAAATGCTGGGAACAAGGGGGTTCCCATTCCTTCTATTCCACCACCTGCACAGACCACTGTTATTTTGTCTCAGTATTTACAGCAAAATAATTATTTCCCCCGCAGCAGTCTGCTGGCTTCCTTCCCACCGCCTGGCATAGGAAACGGGCAGTCGCGCCCTCCCCCTCCCCGCGCGTTCGGCACTTGCCGCCTCTCCACTCCAGGACCAGCAGGGATGCAGGGCTCCCTGAACCGCCCTACACGGGCAGCAGCACCCCCGCTTCCCCAGCCCTAGTGCCCCCCTCCCGATCCCCCCGCCTCGGGGCACTCCAAAGCCCGGCCGGCGCTGCCGCCGGCGGGACGGCGGTGCTGTCAGCCGGCCTGGCGGCAGAGACTTCGCCGCCGCCGGTCGCAGCCGGGCTGCGGGCAGGGTTTATTCAGAGACGGCGGTGAGTCCGGTGGGATGAAGCACATGGAGCCAGGCACGTGTGACGGACTTACTTGCAAGCTGGGGTGTTGCATTCTGGAGGGCATGGTGCTGGGTCAAAATGTTTTTGGGACTGAGTCAGTGAAACCTGGAACCTTCTGCAGACCCCCTTAGCAGGGTGTCCTTTGTATTAGCAGTACTGTCTCCATTTTCTGTTATCTTACAGTAGTTTATTCAGAACAGCAATTAGTATAACAGGCAGAAACAATGAGAAACTGAGGTTGTATGAAAATAAAGATGATTTTTCACCATTTGGCATAGTCCTCATTTTACATGGTATGAAACAAGAATGATATGGCCATTTCTTGTTGAAACACAGTCCAGAACTTGTTTCCCTCCATGGGACCATCTGTGTTCATATGTGAACCCAAGCATTCATGTGTGAACACAGGCATTTACCTTGCCTTATACATATTTTTTTATTATGCAGTCATCCAAGCAGGAAGCAAAAACATCGCTATGAGATTCGACTGACCAAATGAGTAGCTACTGAAGACACAAGGAGCACACAGTCAGCATGCAGGGAAATGGGTATAAATAATTAGGCCTAGCAATATCTGCAGCTTGGATTTTCCACCATTTTTCCATCACAAGGTCACCAGAGACAGCATATGAAACTTTACAGTGTGAAAAATGGGATAATGTCCTGCGGACTTTGGCTTCAGGACTAAACAGCTGGTTTGCAGTTTTAGTGAACTCAGTGACAAAAGATATTTCATGGAATCAACCGTGAAATCAGATTTTGCATACATTAAGGCTTTGGACCAGTCCTTACATTATGCATTACAGAGTGCATGGGAAAAATCTCAAAAGAAAGGTGCCAGGAATCTTTAGTGTTCAGAGGCGTCCATTCCTTGCTGCTACTACAATTATATTTCTTCCCTAAAGGGTGAAGCTTGGTATTCTGGATCACTGACACACTCCCCAGTATTGTCCTTGCACTATTAAATAGTAGGAATTCTGTCCTGAGAATGAGATTTATGGGTAACAGGAAAGGCCTCACCTTTACTAGATAGAAAATAATAGAAAAAAGAGGTCTTGCCTAATTCTAGGGAAGTATAACATCTACATACAACTCAGCTGCAGTGACAACTCTTCGAAAAAAAACAATTCAAAAGCTTCTGGAGCAGTGGGCACATCCTGGGTGGGCATGTCCTGAGTAGTAAATTGACCCTTTCTCCTGCTCTACCTTTCCAAGAAATAGTAAAAGATTTTCAGGACTCCTTCGAAACTCAGGTTTCTAGATGATGGGAAATTGTTCTAGAGATATAGGTTATCCAACCTGTGACAAAGTACGACACACTACAACTCCAGTAACTCAACGAACAGTAATAAAAAGGATACAAGGCGACATTTTGCATGTGAGAGAGCTATGAAGGTAAATGGCAGTTGGTGGAATAAATTGTTACTGATAATCATAAGACCCAGCTGAAACATCTCAAATGGTTTGAGATCAAATATCTTACTGTTACCATGACGAGTGTTTTTCCGGTACTTGTAGAATGACTTCCTCTCAGATGTCTTATAACCAGAAGTGCGTTTGTATGGCCAAAAATCTACATTCCTGAATTTTCCAGCTGTGCAATTCTCCTCTTTCCACAAACTGCTAACGATGTTTAGCAGGAGAGGCACCTGCCTTACAGCTTGGCTGCTTATTGAAATATAAAAGGAAAAAATTCTGCTATTATTATGTTACTGTAGTTTTAGTTATATAAATACTAATGCAGACATTTTTCTTTCCTCTTTGCTTTATGCTGTCTTAAAAACAGCATACATGAATCCAGAAGAAATCTTACTCTGAAATACACATACATGCTAGGCAATGGGCAGTGGTTGCACAATCAGCAGAGCAGTGATACCACAGTAGCTCTTTGTTAGCAAATTCCTTGTGCACCTCATAGCCTGAAATTAGAACTTTTGGAAGTGTGAACTTGGTGCACATTGGAACTCTATTCCAGAAGGCTTTAGCATGTAGTAATTCTGTTTAAAAAGATAATGTTTCATTACTGTCAAGATAACAGAAAAACTGTTTAGCATTTTGGTGTTATTTATTTATTTACTTACTAGTTTACCCTGCTGGTACTTGCCTATGATTGCCTCCTGCTCTCAAGTTATACTTTGAGTTGGCATTTAGGCAAGTGGTAGTGTATTTTTCCTTATACTGTTGTATAGTCAGACATGTCTTAGAGAGCAACCCAAGCAGACAGGTGAGCATTGAATGATGTCTGGGTAGCTGGGGATTTTGGACTCTGACATCATCTGTGAGGTAGCTTTGCCTCTTACGCATGAAGCAAATAGTTTTCAGAAGAGTACCTGAATCGCCCCTGAGGTTTGGGGAGTAGGACCCAGTTGTTTGCAGAACCAAATGAACAAACGTGTGTACCCTTCAGCGAAGTCAGTCCTAGAAATGCTCAATGATGTTTGTGTTATGAGTATTTTAACCACCAGGTATAATTTTGCAGAAGATATACCAAAGGTGAAGCATATGACACTACAGTACAGCATTGTGCAGTATGAATGAATAAGCATCGCAGATGATTTTAGGGCACTCTCTCTTCCAATACATAGGTTACTCTTGCGGAAGTCAGTCCCATCGTGTCAGTTAAACATCATGGATACTGCATGAAAGGTTTGGATGGCTCAGCTTTATCCTGCAACTGCAGGTTGGAAAGCCTGTCTGGAATGGTCACATGTAGATGAACTGTGCTGGGGAGGCAAAGACTATGTAAACTGTCTGTTATTCAAGTGAGAGAATTAAGATGAGTAGGACAGAACCGTCACATGCTAAAGAGGCAGAAGAAAGCAGGTTGACAGGTATGGTGGGTGTTTGGGGGTATCAGAATGACTAGGTGAGTATGTCCCATATTTGCAAAGCTGGAAGCGTAGCACAGGTTAGCGAGGAACACACATGTTGTTCCCTGGTGTGCAGAGTGTATGTTTGCTGTGTCTAGAGGTTCTGAAGGTTGGTGAAGGAGAAACACAAGACAATGTGGAATATACAGCTGATATGACACAGTGAATGAAAAGGGTGTGGTACGAAGGAAACTGAGTAGGTGTGCCACAGAAACTGATAAACAAGGTGTGTTGGTTGATACAGGGGATGTGTCATATTTGTCTGCTGCCAACAGTTATTATTTTAGAGAAATGACAGCAGCGAGGGATGATGCAGCCCTGGCTGCACACTGGGTACACGTGATGGTGTATGGTGGGTGGTGCTTAGGACATGTCACACACGACATAGGACAACAGGACATAGTCTCAAGCTGCAACAGGGGAAGTTTATGCTGGACATTAAGAGAATTTCTTCACAGAAAGGGTGATTAGATATTGGAATGGGCTGCCCAGTGAGATGGTGGAGTCACCATCCCTGAAGATGTTTAAGGAAAGACTGGATGTGGCACTCCAGTGTAGTTGACATGGTGGTGTTTGGACCCAGGTTGGACTTGGTGATCTCAGAGGTCTGATTATGTGATTCTGTCACACCTTTAACTGAACACGAAGGATGAGGGTTCTGGGTTTGCATGCCACATGCCAACAGCAGCAGTGACGAGCGTGACAGACATCGTACATTTTGCTGACGGTGTGGCTGCTTGTACTGTGCTGGGGCTGGTCACCCGTGGCAGTGGGATGGTGCCTGCACCCCTGAGTGGGCAGTTGGGGTGGAAGGTGGGGACTGCAGGAGAAGCTGGGTCGGCACAGCAGGGCCTGGGCTGGGGTCTGCCACGGCAGTGGGGGCTGGACTGAATCCCCAGCTAGGGCAGAGGAGGAGAGTGGGAACAGGCAGGAGGAAGAGCATTAGGAAAAGCATTGCCAGTATGTCCAGGGAAGTGATCCTGTCCCTCTACTCAGCCTTGGTGAGGCCGCATCTGTAGGGCTGTGTCCAGTCTGGGCTCCTCAGTAAGGAGAGACATGGAACTCCTGGAACAGGTCCAGCAGATGGCAACGAGGATGACTGGGGAACTGAAGCGTCTCTCTTACAAGGAAAGGCTGAGGGAGTTGGGCCTGTTCATCCTTGAGAAGAGATGACTCAGAGGGGACCTCATTAATGTATGTAAGTGTCTGAAGGGAGGTGTGCCAAGAGGATGGATCCAGGCTCTTCTTGGTGGTGCTGAGCTATAGGACAAGAGGAAATGGGCAGAAACTGATGCACGGGAAGTTCCACCTGAGTATGAGGAAGAACTTTACTATAAGGGTGACCAAGCACTGGAACAGGTTGCCTAGAGAGGTTGTGGAGTCTCCCTCACTGGAGATATTCCAGAACCGTCTGACACAGTCCCGTGCCATGTGCTCTGGGATGACCCTGCTTGAGCAGGGCGGTTGGACCAGATGACCTGCCGTGGTCCCTTCCAGCCTGACCCGTTCCCAGACTCTGTGGGAGGCCTCGGCCGTTAGACAGGGGCGGCCTCACCGCGCGGGCGGTGCCGCCGCTCACGGGCAGCGGTTCGGTCCGGCCCCGCGCGTGCCGAGCCCGGCCCGGCCGTTACGGCACCGCCGCCGCTCCGCTGTGAGGCGGCGAGAGCGGGCGCGGGCGGCGGCGGCGGCGGCGGGCGGGGGGCTCGGTGCAGGGAACAGCCGCGGCCTCCTCGCCTCAGCCGCGGGGAGGAGGGACACCGAGAAGGGGGGAAGGCGGGGGGGTGAGGGAGGGGGGCGAGCGTCGCGTCGCGTCGCCCGCTTCCCTCTAGGACCGCGCCGCCGGCAGGGAGGAAGGGGCGCGTCTCCCCGGAGCCTTCTTCGCCCCGCGCCCTCTCTTCCCAGGCCCGGTGCCGGAGGGGGTGGGGGTGGGCGCCCCGCGGGTCCCCTCAGGCTCGGCGGTGCCCGGGGCGGGTGAGATGTCGGGCTGAGCGGGCGCGAGCCCGCGGGGGTGGGGTCCGCCGTGCCCGGGGAGGGGGCGGGCGGGCGGGGGGGTGGTTGGGACCGTCCCCTCACAGCCGTCCCGCCCCGCCGCCGCCGCGCTGCGCCCATGGTGATTGTGCTGCATCCCCCGCGCGCCGAGCGGGGCGAGCTGCCCGCGCCTCCCCGCCGGGGCGCCCAGGTGGGTGGCGGAGGTGGAGCGGCGGCGGCGGCCGCTCGTTGTGCGCGGGGAGAGGGGCGGGGGGTTTGTGCGGCGGGTCCGCGCCGCGGTCCGGGACCCGCCGTTCCGCGGGCGGGTCGCGCTGCCAGCGCGGGGTGGGGACCGCCGCCCCCCCCGGGCTCGCACGGCGGCCGCGACCTCGCACGGGTCCGTGGGGATCCGCGGTGGCTGCGGGGGCAGATCTTCACGTGATGGAGGCAGGGGTGTGTGTGGCTGGCGTCGGGTCTGGCAGCGAGATCTTCCCAACTAGGTTTCTTCTCCCCTTTTGTTTTCTGATGTTTAAAGAGCACATCGGTGACTTTACTGCCTGGCATCTTGTCAGGGGCTCCGTTTCTCCAAGTGTGCCACTGTTAATCTTGAATTGATTCCATCATTTAAGCAAGCATTCTCCAGACATGTTATTTTTTCTTCTTTTTTTTGTTACCGTTTGTAAACCACTGCTTATTTTCTGTGGCAGAATGGAGTCCAATGCATAGGAATACATGCTCCTAATGCATAGGAATACGTGCTCCTGACCTGAAACGTACTTTTCTCGAGTCTCCTCATCTGAATCCTAAAGGTTATTCTGGGGGAGGGGTTTAAAGACTCGCACAAATAAATGGAATAGTTTCTGTAGGTTTTAAAACTTAATTTCGTCATATGTTCTCGTGTAGGTACAAGTTTATCTTTCCATTGAATGCACAGTCTTCAGTAAAAGAACAAGTTGCTTAGCCTTCTGGGGTCTTTTTCTTCTTAAATTTGGTATCTGTGGTAATATAATGGTGTAAATTCTTTAAAGTTGCACATTTCCCCTAGCTGTGTTCATCTCACAATTTTCATTTGACTTTGCTTATTGTCTTGAATGGCACCTTTTATTCCTTTGGGATTTAATTTATCTTTATTGCATACCTTTATATGTTTATTTATATCTAATAGGGATGTTTCTTCTTTTTTTTTTCCTCCCTAGGTGTTGGTGTCTTCAGAGTCGTTTAGGCGTTTAGTTCTGAGGAAGTAGAGACACAAGGATTGAGTCTATTTTATGTAGAAAGCTACAGCTCTTCATCAGTACTCTTTTTACTCCTTCATATCCCTCCTATAGGGGAGGACAATTTGGGAATTATTTTAACAGTCATTTACTCCCCTTCCCCCCTCACAATTCTACCCTAGTCCCCGAGGCATCCGCTAGACATTGCCTGTTATAGGACCAGGAGAACGTTCTCATCATCATCATCATCATCCCTTGCTTGCTTTGAGAGCTTCAGTAGTACCCTTCCCTCCTTTGGAGTGTAGTGCAGAGAGGCATCCAGAAGACTTCCTTGCCACCCTTTTTGGTTAGTAGAGGATCCAGGAAAAGGGGTACCTAGCAAGACACGTGACCTCCTTAAGGGAGCCAGAACTGAAGCAGCACTTAGCACGCTGAAGGAAACACCCATCTTTAGTGTCTTTTTCGTCTTCCACTCCTTCCTCACCAAATTTCTGGTAAGTCTCTTCAGTCCATTCATTCACGCAGTGCATGTTTCCCTTCCCCCACTCCAGGCGCTGGGAGAGGCATGCACAGAGACTGTGAGGTGGGGGAAGGGAGGAGGGGAAACTGGCTGTGTACATACGGATCAGGGAGGAGAGGGGGGTGTTTTACCACACTGCAGGGAAACCTGGCACAGGTGGAAGAGCCTCTCATCAGAAAAGCAGCTGATGTGGGAGGAAATGTGTGTTTTATTTGCACATGGACGTGCGTGCGCACACAGGGATGGTGGAGGGGGATGAGAAAGCTGTTGTAGGAAAAAATACCGAGAAGTAGAAGGATGGCTGATGCTGACCAGTATCGGGCTCATGTTGCAGAGAGAAAAGAGAATGGATTATTCGGTGGTGATCTGGAAGTGGGGTGTGTGAATGAGGAATCTTAACCATCTACTTGCAAGCGTGAACACAGAAGAGGAAAGACGGGTGTGTGTGTGCGCACATGTGTGTGTGTATGTCTGCCTTTTAGAGGCAGTTGTGCCTGGGAGGATTGCTGCTAGCATCCTGAACATCACTCAGTGCAAAGGTGGAGACAAGCAGATGAAAGCCATCACTGAGCGTGCAGTTGCCCGTCTGCAGGGTGGGGATATTGTACTAGGAATGAATGGGAACAATTAATATATTCCCGTATCCTTTGGCTTTTGGAGTCTACAAATCTCCAAGGGAAAAGGAGGTGAATACTGTGATATGCTTTCAAAGAGGTGTGCTTGGGTTCACCTGCCTGCAGAGACTTTAAATTCTACAATGCATGTGTAAAGGGTGGATGATAATGCAGCAGCCCTGGACAGATTGTGCTGCAGCTACTCAATATATTATATAAAATGCATTTAAATAAATGTTTTAATTTTTCAGATTCTTCAGGTTTTAAAAATGTGTTCTTTCCAAAGAGTCTCAAACAGTTATGTGACAATCTTAGGAAAACTAGTTTTTGGTACGTAAAAGAGGAATTTTTCTTGATGTTGGCCTTAAGCATCACCATGAAGGAGCATCATCAGGAATGAGTTGATTTACCTTGGATGTATTTTTTGAAAGATGTCAGTTCTTATCTCTATCACCATGGGATGTATTCATCATCCATACCTTTTCTTCAGATGATTGTCATTCTGGTACCTTTGTGTGGAAAAAAATTACTTGTGCTTTATACTGGAAACAGCTGTGAACTGTTTGCAGACCTGCTTTCCTTATGGCATAGAAAGTCCTGTTTCTGGGATGTTTCAAATACTGCTCTCCTTTCATTAAGATGAGACAGAGACTTACATGACAGCGTATGGCAGATTATGTGCTGGGTCATGTGCTGGATGACTGTTTGTTAGCTCTTTAACTGGTCTGCTGTGTAAGATTGACTTTATAATTCAGATCTGCCTTGAGGTATCTCCTAAAGGAGATAACTTGCAAGCATCTGTCAAATGTTCTTAGGTCTTCAGTGTCTTGAAATGTGGCCTTCTAGCATTCTAGAAACTGCTGCAACGGTGGAGACGATTGGTTTATTGGAAATGTGTACTTAGTTTCAAGCCTTAGCTAATTTATGGTGAAAAGAAAGTCAAAATAAATTTTCCAAGTTGAATAACACTGTTTTGGAAATGAGTATTAAGGGATAAGCATCAATGATTTTATTAGTGTTAATTGTAGTGAGGTGAGTGCTTGGAGCTGTGTTTTTCCTAGTTCTCTGTTTCCCGTGGCAGTCATGACTGTCAGTCTCCTTGCTCATTCCTTCTCGCTTCCATGAGATTTTTATTATCATTATCTCAGCTGTAGGGATCCAGCATGCCTAGAGGTTTGCTAAAACTAAGGTTAGGTTTTTTTAGTTAATAGAGATTAACTGCTGGAATCTGTGGAGTTTGTGTTAGCTGCTCAGTCCTGTAACTGAGCCTGAGAGTCTGAGCCAAGCTCTGAAAAAGGGGAGATTCTGGGAGGGGCTGATGGTAGTAATTGTTCCTCCAACTTGTTTCCCAGAACACAGTATAGTCAGTGGGAGTGTGCTACAACATCAGATCACAGGTCGAGCAGTTGAAATAGCTAGATAATATTGATTCTTAATGCTACAAAACATCTGGGATTCCATTCATCATTCCCATAGGGAAGAAACAAGTTAGACTTTTTAATTTACAGGAGCATCGAGTGGTTGCATTCTGAGCAGAAAGAATACGGAACAGGGTTTTTTTTGCATACTAGGTATCTTTTATCTTACACATTTACCAGTCAAACATAAATTAATTATTATCCCCTAATAATGGGTTTCTTCTTAGAGGTCATACATCATGATGAAAAAGAGACTAGTCCATTTTTCTCCTGCTTTTGGGTGTTGAAGACAGGATAAGGAGTAAATTAACAATGGAGACCAATCTCCCATTCCTGGAGACAGTTCTCTAATCTCTCTGTAAAGAGAAGACCTCTTCGAGGCAAAAAGAGTGGTCTTCAGAGAAGATTTCTAGATCTCTCTAGACAACTGATCTGATTGGCTGAATTCCCTCTTATTTCAAGAAAGCATATTCCTATATGATGTAAAGTAGAAAAGGAGCACAGTGAGTGCTTTTGTTAGAACAGCTGCGAAAGGTGTACTGCAGATTGAAGGAATATGGGAGGAAATAGGATTGCATGTGATGGGGAGGGGAGGAAGTTGCTGTGTGCTTGCCGGAATAAAGCCTAGCTTAAGCAATACAAGGGTGCTACAGCTCAAAGTTGAGGTAAGTGTTCCATTCCCTCTATAAATTGCTAAGAATCTGTTCCACACAGCTTCCTGAAGCTGATGCAGCAGTGTCTGCTTGGCTGCTGTGACACAGAGTTTGATTTTTATGAGAGCTCTTACTTTGATACCACCCTTTTTACCTCTCCCAGTTCATTTTATGCACTTAGGTTTATGGTTATTTTTTGCTTTTAATTTCATAAATCTATTAAATAGTTTTTGCAGGATTGTACTTTGACTGTAGTAGGTAGCTTTGATTGAAAACTGCACTTTAGCTGGTCATCTTGAACATATTTAAACATCTGCTCTTCCCCTTATATATACCATACTTATTTTGCAATAGATGCTCTCATGGATTAGGAAGTATTCCATGCACGCCCAGCATTGTCTGAGGCTGTGTCTTTTAGATTGAAATGGGTGGAGTTGGTTTTCAAGGAAAAATTCTGGCAATCGTATCCAACTTGAGAGCTTAATGCTCTTTTGCATCTGACTGCAAGGCTAGCTTTCCTCCTACAGACCGTTTTCTTGAGAATGTGGGAGGGATTGTTGTTTGGGTTAATAGGGTAAATTGCAGGTTTTGTGTTCTGTGAGACTTCTTACACCATCAAAATAGAGATTGTAAGGAGAGACTGAAACTGATGAGTAGATTCTGTTTTTAGGAACAGAATGTTAGTGTGAAAAAGGTGTTTTTCCAGGTGGAAAAAAAAGGAGGTGTAGGGTTGGGGTGAAGGAACCAAGAGTTAGGGTTACTAGTTTCTGCCTCTGCTGCTGGCTTGTAGCTTGATCTGAAGTGAATTTCTTAATCTCTACTTCCAGATTTGAGGTTGTTACCTGCTTTCCTTAAGATAAGATGTTAGCTTTTATATATACATTTATAAAACTCCATATATATATGGAGTTTATATATACATTTATAAGATTTTGAGGGAATGAGACATAATATTAGGAGGGAGATGAATACCCCTACCTAAGGCATTTTTGTATGCCTGCGCGTTTAATGAGATACCTGGATGGCTCTTCTCAATGAAGCTGTAACTTCTTTCAAAAGTAGAAGAACCGTGGCCCTTTGCTGATTTTTAAGAATTCAAGTGCTGAAATGGCATCAGGGAGAGAGATGATGGCAGACTTGAGGGGGTGGAGGTGGGGCGATGTAGAAAAGAGGCTTGAGAAAAATGAAAGTAGATTGGCGAAGAAATCAAGGGTTACTAGCAAGTTAAAATGGGGGAAAAATACTTGTTTTTTGCACCAGTGTTAGAACCAGTGCAGAGGGGGAAAAAAGCCTCAAACCACAAAACCCCAAACTAAAACTTTAAGCAAGCTGAAAATATGTATTGTTTTCTGATTTATTTTGTTTCGTTTTTTTTTTTTTTTTCAATGAAGAGAAGGTGTGCCTGGTATGTTTGTTCGCGTACTCGCCGTTCCCCGGCTGTCCTTTAACCCGGCCCGGGCGCGGCGGGCAGCGCTGCGTTCCCGGGGCGGGGCGGCAGGTGGCGCTGCGCCGCCTCGCCAGCCCCTCATGCAAATGGCAGCGGCGAGGGCCGGTGCCCAGGGGCCTCTGGGCTGTGCCACGGCACGGCCGTGACATTGCTGGAAAACACAGCCTGTCCCGGTTCCTAGCCGAGCATGTTGTTCCAGGAAGTTTTATGTAAACTGCCACGTAGAGGAATCCATTGTTGAGAGAGACAAAAGTGGGGCAGGATCTGATAGCCATTGCAAGCCCAAACCTCATCTTGCCCTTTCCATTTTCGGCTGCTTTGAAGAACAAAGAGGTTCTTTGAGATAGCAAAAGATATTCCTTATAACCCCTCATACCATTTTCCTGCAGGGAGCAAACACTCCTTTTCCTCCTTTACCTTGAACATCTTGACTGCTGTCAAGGGCTGGTCTGGATCTATGATTGCCTTTCCCAAGCTTCTGCTTGCTTTCAGTCTGTTAGGATGAAGAACTGTAGTCCTTGGCTTTATTGTTGGTCCTCATTTACCAAAACAATGGAAAAAAATCTCAGTCTTTGCTTGTTGTCATTATGGTTCTCAGTACCGGGAGTAAAAATGTCCACTTAACATTTGATGTTCGTGTTAAGAAAAAGCTGTACTGGTAGAAAATCTTGCTTTTTAATAAAAAAAAATCTGGTTCTTGTGGTTGTAGCTAAACAATCCTTTTGTCCCAAGACCTGCTGCAGAAACTAAAATTCTTTGTAATATCAAATGATAGCAGTTGTATACTTACTGTCTTTCTGTATTTACATTTCCTGCTGACAGCAGGTCCTGTCATTAGGATTACTAGGTGAAACTCCTGTTTCTATCCCAGAGTTCAGTTCTCTTTGGAACTTATGTAAGGTATATTGATGAAAATCATGATTTCTACCTCTTTATTTTAACAGGAAAGTTTAAAATCTGACACTGAAAGCAGCTCTGGTTTTCTCCAGAATTCTTTTTCCCTACACCACGCTGCTTCTTGTCTTTCTTGAGTGCAAATGAGTAGTCCATTAGCATACCTGTAATTGTTTTACAGCTTTTAAAATATTTCAGTAAAAATGTATTCAGTAAAGAATAGCTCAAGTCCTCTGTATTTAAAGCAAAAGGAGAAGTACCTTGCTTTTGCCAGTTCTAACACCACTGAATTTCTTCAATTTGAACTGTTTTTTCTGTTCTTGGTGCTGAATTCATTAGTGCTGTGTATTCATGAAGGCGATTTAAAAAATGATTTGGAGCAAGAAAGGCCTAGTACTGAGATTCAGACTTTGATTTTGCTTTATTTTACGTATATTATTAATGTTCTGTATTTCCAACATTTTGTTGATGCTCCTTGTTCCATTGTTTTTTTTTCTGTTATTATGTCTTCTGGATACTACTAAATATGTTTCTAAGTATATTGCACAGTAGATGTGAAATAGGTGTAAGAACAAATCAGTCCTAGATAGTTATCTGGAAAATTCTGTTTTAATGAATTTCTTCTGTTCTTCTGGGCACCTTTTTTAACATAAAGAATTTGTCACACTCTGCTTTCTTCCCTATGTGGTGGAAAGGGACAAATCAACTCTGTCACTGGGTGTTTTAGCAGTACCTAGGAGAGGGACTGAGTTATTTCAATTGTAAGGAATTATCCCAATAGTGAAGTTGAAATTCTGGCATTCAGACATGACCATTCAAAGTGTATTAAGTTCTTGACATGCTTCTTAGTACTGTCAAGGAAGGGGGATGCTACTACCAATACCAGTAGTTACATCATTTGTATACCTTTTGTGAAGAAAGCTAGGATGAGTACCAAGACCTGATTACTAGCCTTTCACATTTCATCAAATGTAAATAGATTTGTTTGTGTTGTTGGTACCTCGGTGACAGATAAGGTGTAGACATTATTTTGCCTCTTGGAGGTTGGAAGTTGCAGTCTGTTGAAAAGGACTGACTTGTGAGAGGGAGAGGGACTTGGTACAGCAGGGATCAAGAATTATGTGCTCTAACAGAGTCTCATCTTCTCCACTGTCTAGCAGTTCCACTGAAAGGAAACCTTGAAGGTTGCAAGACAAGTCCAAGATGTGCAGTTCTGTTGCTCCCAGGCTGTGGTTCTTAACAGACCGTCGCATCAGAGAAGATTACCCTCAGCAGGAGATCCTGAGAGCACTGAAGGCCAAATGCTGTGAAGAGGAGCTGGATTTCCGGGCCTTGGTGATGGATGAAGTGGTGCTGACCATTGAGGATGGAAATCTTGGTGAGAATGAGCTGAGGCTGGGAATGTGCTGAAAGGGTACTTCGAAAAAGATTGTAAAATGGAGCATCTGTACTCTTTAATAATGAATTCCGTGTGTGCCAGACTACTTGTCATTCATCATCTAAATCATGTAGATGTACGTCATACCATGGTTTGTAGCATTTATTATGTTAATTGAGTATAATTGTTAAATTTGCTAATTTGCAGTAGAACCATTTTTCCCTTCCTTCTGCAGAAAAGAGGGGAGAGTTGTTTTGTTTTGTTGAGTTCAGGATAAGGACTATAGGACCTCTGAATTAATAAGAAATCATGGAGTTAAATTTTTGCTTAGATAATTGAAGTTTATGGGTCACATTTAAGAGTTTCAGCAGGAATTTTTTTTTTCTGTTTGTGTTCTAACTCCAGAATAGAAAACACATTTGAAATAGTCTAAAAGGAATTTTCAATGAACAGTACAAATTGTTATAATGTGGTATAGATTATAATGTGATATAACTAAAGCATGCTGCTTTAGTACGCATGTGGAGTTACGTATATGCTAAAAATGAACGGTGGTGAAAAACAAAGTATGTGCAGCCGAATAATTTGAACTATTACTACAATTTACAGTGTTTAAAACTAAATGGTAAGATTTCTGTTTTGTTCTCCTATTAGTTTTTTTTTCCCCTGTGGTGATTAAAAGGGAAAAGCAAGACATTGTGTCAGAAATGTTAAGGAAAATGATGCTGTAGATAGTAAGCTGATATGATAATAATGAATAATAATGGCCAGTCTTCGCGAGTGAAGATTTGGGAAAGGTCATTGACCCTTCGAGCCTGCGCAGTGGATTTTTTAGGTGAGAC